TGCACCCAACACATGTGTTTCTTCTTCCACTTGATTTGCACAGTTTACTTGTTGCACATTGTTTGATCTACAATCCTTCATAAAATGCCCAAACTTTTTGCATTTGTGGCATTCAGGCTTGCCCTTGAGCTAGCACTCTCTAAAATGGAATTTATCACAGTGCTTGCACAACTGTTTGGTTTTGGAACCCTCACTGGTGTTGTTGCCATAGTTAGTCTAAAGTTTTGATACCCTTTTCTTTCCCATTTCTTAAACTTGCCTTTCCACTGTGGTTTATGTCTGCTTGCACCAGCTTGACTACTAGAACCAATATGGAGAGATTGAAAAGCTTTCTCTGTGGCAGTGTTAGCATGCCTTTCAAGTCTTTGGTCAAAGACTCTTAAGGATGCGATCACATCTTACACACTAAGAGTGTATGTGTGTTTTGTTTCTTCAATAACACTCACTATTGAATCATAGGGTTTAGTTAAACTAATCAACAACTTTTGAACAACTCTTTCATTTGGCAATTCTTCACTATAGGTTTTCATTTGGTTTACAACATCAAATCGCTTAGAGAAGTAGTCTTTCAACAATTTATTTTCCCTCATTCTTGTATATACGAAATCTCTTGTAAGGGATTGAAGTTTTACCTTTCTTACTTTGATGTCCCCTTTGTATTCTAGTTGTAGAACCTCCCAAGCATCTTTTGTAGTTTCTACATTTGCTATTCTTGGAAAGATGACATCTGAGACAACTCATTGGATGATTCCAAGAGCTCGAGCATCATTCATTCGATTCTGCTTCAAAGTTGTAGTCTGTTTTTCTGTGAGGTCCTCCTCTAGAGCATCAACCTCCACCTCAGGTGGCTCATACCCATACTGGACCATATCCCAGAGGTCATAAGACTTGAAGATAGTAGTCATCCTTATCCTCCAAAAATCATAGTTTCCCCATCAAATACAAGAGCTTTTAGCTAACCGCTACAGAATCCTTTCATTTGTAGGCTTGATATTTGATTCTTAGGGTTTCAAACACTATATGAGTGTTCCCAAAGAAATCAAAATGCACATAAACGCCCAGAAAATAGAAAGATCAGCAACTAGGCTGTGAGGCCATGATAAAGTGTGTCTTTTGTATATTTTGATTCACTGTTTGATTAGTTTTCTAGGGATCTGAAATGAACAAGAGAGATAAGGAATGTTGCAAGTTTGTGACGGCTACAAGGCTATGCAAATGCATCAGCCATATTTTGATTTATATAGGGAATGTTTATTGCCAACTCACAAACTTATCTCTAAATGTGCTAGGAGACAAACATGTACTATGAATTACACCTACCATTCTCTAGATTTAATCCTAGCTCTTCATTAAGGTTTTTAAGTGATCTAATCTGGAGTGTGCACGTGTCCTTCATTTACCCAAACAAAAACTTTAAACCAAAACTAGCCGTTAGAGTCAAAACCCTTGTTCTTCTTCTTTTTTTCTTCGATTATGCAGCAACTCATTACTTGAAGCTTCACTTGCTGCCTTTGATCCTTGGAACTAGAAGCGATTTAGGTTCGAAAACGTTTTTGGTGATGATTCAGTAATGAAGTTAAATTGATATTTTTATGAAGTTTCACTCTTTAAACCCTCTAACTTTTCGGTGGACCATTGAATTGTGAGTTAACTTCGTATCGCTAGTCGTACACCTTTGGGTAGTTGTATGCTAGTTATCACTTTTGACTAATTTATTGGCCGGTGAGTTTTCAATCGTGCTATTTACTTGACATTGTAAACAATATGCGTCGACATTAAGAAAAAAAAAAAACACACACAAATATCAACTTCGGACAAGAGAAATTTAAAAATCCACAATATCAAAAGAAAGAACAACTTGCCTGCAACGAATTTGTTAACTTATAATGTTTCAATTTAATTAAACAGAATAATGTGAAGATAAACTCACATGCGACAATATATTATTCAATCACAATATCATGATAAGTTAATATCTGTGACCTGTTTATCTAAATATTTTTCCAAAATAGAAAACACATGTGAGGACAAAATCAAAAGCTCACGTTCCATCTCTATCAAGTATCAACAATATCAATGGTGTGCGCTCCACGAGCACCTACCCAAAGAACAGGTGTGCAACATTGAACCCACACAAACAAAACAATTCGATTTCTTTTTAGGGTTTGGAATAACAGATAGGATTAAAAAAATTATGGGCAATGTAGCATCCTACAATCGGCCTGGGTCACAATACAATAAATAAATTTTATATATAAAGCCAACACAAAAGGTGAACAATGTTTTTTATGTCACCAAGCTTCAACAAAAATATTTGGACAAAAATATCCCCAAGACAAAAAACTTCAAAGGCATCCCAAAATAATGCATCAAATAAGGCAGGGGCATTTTCATCATTTAAACAGTGTTTTTTTTTATAATTTAATTTTTGGTACAATTTTTTTTTAATTAGTGTCTCACAGTAGGTTAGCAATAATGTGATTCAATTTCTTTATTTTTAAACACGTTCAAAACATCTTAAGAGACATGTAATACCGATTATAAAAAAAGTCTTTCGCATACTGATAATAATGTAATTAAATGCGTTGTCAAATGATTATTTTTTTTAAAACAAATGATATTATCTACGCTAAGAGGGAGAGGGGGTGGGCTTAGCCTCACAATGGGTTAGCAATAATGTGATTTAATCAGTTGTTTATTAAATATTATTTTCTCTATTCTTAATGTAAATTATATAGAGACCGATTTTATTATGTGGATTCAGCTGCTTTAATTAGTTTATGAGGGGTTTCTTCTAGCATGATCTAAGATTATTTATTTACATCAAATATTTGATTTTCTTTTTGTCAATTTACGCATCTAAATACATTTAAAACGTGTAGGTCATGCGTAGCATATCGTGAAGGTGAATAGTGTTTTTGGTGTCACCAAGCTTCAACAAAAATATGTGGACAAAAATGCCCCCAAGACAAAAAAACTTCAAAGGCATTCCAAAATAAAGCATCAAATGAGACAGGGGTATTTTCGTCATTTTAACAATGTTTTTTAATAGTTAATTTTTTTGTGCTGTTTTCCTTTTTTTAATTAGTGCTAGCCTATTGGACAAAAATTGAATCACAATAAGCTAGCAATAATGTGATTCAATTTCTCTATTTTTAAACACGTTCAAAACATCTTAAGAAACGTGTAATGCTGGTTATAAAAAAGGTATTTCGCATGCGAATAATAATGTGATTAAATTAGTTGTCAAATGATTGTTTTTTATTTATTTTAACAAACGATATTATCTACACGAAAGGGAAGGGGGTGGGCTTAGGCTCACAATGGGCTAGCAATAATGTGATTCAATCAATTATTCATTAAATATAATTTTCTCTATTCTTATTGTAAATTCTATAGAGACCGATTTTTATTATGTGAATTCAGCTATTTTAATTGGTTTATGAGGGGTTTCTTCTAGCATGATCTAGGATTATTCATTTACTTCAAATATTTGACTTTTCTTTTGTCAATTTAGGCATATAAATACATTTAAAACATGTAAGTTGCGTATAACATACTGTGATTCAAAAAATATTTTATGCACACGAGTGAGTGCGTGCATGAAAGCTGGTAATAAATAACTCAATCTGTTACCGACCAGCTATTTAAGTACCTCTCGTACTTAGAAAAACGACGGTCCCAAACAAAAGGCGGTGCACCAATTTTCATCGACCCCATGAGGATTCCTGCTGCGAATCACTCATCCTCAAGCAAATTAGAGAAGAAAATGATAAAGTAGGTACGGCTACTCGTGTTTGCAGAGTGAAAACAAATCAGGTTGTAACATATGTTGGGTTGGTATACTAGTTGTCCATGCAAAGACAGCACCGTCACAGCAGGACTTATTTTCTTCTCACGGATGTAGATCGAGACGTGTGATGTTGGAAGTCCTATTCGTATACTAGCTTAGCCAGCTCTTGCAAATACGTTCATTTACCTAGCTCTAACAATACAATACTTATTTAATACGGATATTATCCGTGTAAACTTTTTACAAATTCGGTACTGCGTTCACAGTACGTAGTACTATCTGTCCTCAAGGATAACCGGTTAGGTTGACTTTGGAAATGCTACTAAGGATCGGTTGGAGAATGAAAAAACGTCCACTCACGCCCACAGGATAAGATCTTTTTCAGATTAGCAACGAATGTATTGTATCTATGAAGAAAGATTTCTTCCCGGGTTCAATTTGATCGAGATGTGAATGCTCGCAATCTGCTCAATTAACCAATAAATAGAAGAACTCTGTATGTTTTTTCCTTATATAAAACGATACTCACCAGAAAAACTCTATATGTTTTGAATCTTATGAATGACAAGTTCTATACTAATTTAATGTCTCAACCCCTTAGTGTAAATATATCATTATATCGGAAAAAGAATAATGATATTTGGACCACTTTTGTTGACCACTTTGCTTGCCACCTCTTTAATAGATGTGAACTTCACCGATTGATAATACTAGAAAGAGGGTCAGCAAATGTGGTTTTAATAGCAACACATTAATTAAGCACTAAATTATCTTAATGTCGATGAAAATAGCATGCTAACGATTTTTAATTTGAAATGTTTTTTGAAGGCATGAAATTGAAGTATGATAAGTTTTACTTATTATATAAACATTGTGATAATAAGAAAGATAAGAGAAGGTAAAATGAAAAGGTAGTTAGCAATCTCTTTATGCACATTTTTTTCTTATTTTTACTAGCTATCTCCCTATTCGTACTATGTTAGTTCAGTTGGTTATAGAAATATTATGATAGTTAGGCTAGTCGGCCAGTTGGATAATGTAAATATGGCCTAAGAGAGTTTAGAATATCGTACTGTAAAAAACGAAACAAAAAAAGTGTAGTTATTTAAAACTGTATTTTCACTAAGACGCACTTGATCTCGGTTTCGAGGCAGCTTCGTCCTCACTTTATACGTATCTTTTTTCACTATATATGAACAACTAGCTACTTCCAAAGCTCAAGAAAATCAGTCAATCTCTCTCAGAAAAGTGTTGTGCTTCATCCTCATAAGCATACAAATATAAAAATGGCGTCTCCAGCAATTTGTGATCGGAACAATCGCAATGATGGAGAAAATGGCAGTTGGTCGATGGGTTTGTGTGGGAAGGTAATGAATAAGGTGGTGGAATTTCCAATAAAATTAAAGAAGCTTGGACAAGATGATCCCAGAAGGGTTGTTCATTCTCTTAAAGTTGGATTAGCAGTTCTTTTGGTGTCATTGCTCTATTACGTCCAGCCCGTCTATAACGGCCTTGGTGACACTACCATGTGGGCTGTTATAACTGTGGTTGTTGTCTTCGAATTTTCAGTAGGTATGGTTTTGCTTACCATTATCACATTGTGAAAATTTCGTTCCGGTAGTAATTTTCACACTCCTAGTTTCTCATTGTACACCACTTCCCTTGTTTGTGTCGCATGATTCTCATTTGATTTCCTCAATCATAAGAAGAGTGCGGAAATCACTTTTCTTTCGTTTTAAGTTATCTAAGAATTTAATTTCTTGTTTGTGAGTTGAATTCATAATTCCAATTAAGAAGATGCTAATCTGTAGTGCAACTTTTTTTTTCTTATTCGAGCGATATTCTGAAATCTAATCGTTCGATATTCTATTCGAATCAATGTTAATTTATAATGCAGGAGCAACATTAGGAAGAGGTTTAAACAGGATCTTGGCCACATTCCTAGCAGGTGCTCTAGGATTTGGTGTTCATCACCTGGCAAGTATTTCTGGAGAAATAGGTCATCCGATTCTCATCGGCATCTTCGTCTTTCTACTAGGTAAAATTACTAAATTCCATCACAAAACATATGTATTCATTTTCTATGTACAAAAAGAAAAAAGGAAATAGGGTATTCGTTCGATAAATTATATCATCAAATTATAAGTAAAATTATGAATTGGGAATTTATGGAATGTTACATTGTATGCAGCTGCATCGGTGACATTTATACGTTTCTTTCCACGGATGAAGGCGAGATTTGACTATGGACTGCTCATTTTTATCTTGACATTCTGTTTGATATCGGTGTCGGGATACAGAGAAGAGGAGATACTAGAAATGGCTCACAAGAGGGTGTCGACAATCCTCATAGGTGCCTTTACAGCTGTTTTTGTGTGCATTTTCATTTGCCCGGTATGGGCTGGTGATGATCTGCACAATTTAGTTGCCAATAACATTGAAAAGCTCGGGAGCTTCTTGGAAGGTACATTATTTGATGAATGCGATATTTCATTGCTGGAATTTTCATTTCTAATTAATGTGGTCGGGAAAACTTACAAGGTAGAAAAAAAATGAAAATTTGCAGGTTTTGGGGATGAATACTTCAAAGTAGCTGGCAATGGAGAATCTAATAGGGCACATTTGCAAGGATATACTAGTGTTCTCAATTCAAAACAGAGTGAAGAAACTCAGGTCAGTCTCTAAATAATGATCTTTGTTATTTATATGAAACGTTATGTTTTGAGACTGTGAATCAGAATCTCACATTCAGAAGTGATTCTACATAATCAACAACATCAACAAAGCTTTATCCCACTAAGTGAGTCACCTGTATGAATCCTAGAATGCCTAATAATACTAAGTGAGGTCTACTGTATGTATCCTAAAGCACCTAACAACAACAATAAAGCTTTATCCTACTAAGTGACTCTACATAATCAACAGTTCTAATTCAGTCTAGTAAAACATCATGTCTAATACTACTAACTATACGTTCATGTTTGCAGGCCAATTTTGCAAGGTGGGAGCCTAGACATGGAAAGTTTAGGTACCGTCATCCTTGGAGGCACTATCTCAAAATCGGAAACTTAAACCAGCAATGCGCCTACCGGATTGAAACTCTCAATGGCTACCTCAACTCTGAAATCCAGGTATACATTGTACCTAATCAAATTTTCATATTATTGCACGACATATATCAAATGAAATTGTGCAAATTAATCATTTTGCTTGATGACATTAATTAAGTTTAAACTTTTTACAGACACCATTGAACATCCAAAGCAACAAAGTTCAGGAGCTGTGCATGAAGATGAGTTCAGAATCAGGCAAAGCACTGAAAGAGCTAGCATGGGCACTCAAAACAATGACTGAGCCATGCGCTGCTGCCAGCTCCCACATAACAAAATCAAGAGCTGCAGCCAACAATCTCACATCCATGTTTAGGACTAGTGCAGCGGCAGCGGCAGGAGAGGGTGGATATCAAGTTCGCCTCCAAGACATGGTGCCCGCTGTGACCGTTGCTTCGCTGCTAAGCGACGTCGTTGCTTACGCCGAACAAATTGAGAAGTCCATTCAGGAACTGGCCTCCTTTCCACATGTGCAGTTCAAGAGTGCAGAACCAAAAACATTGCAGTCATGTAATACCTCTTCCAGCAACGTGGGACCGCATCATGTCATCACGATGGATCGACTAGCATCTCTACAAGTTCAAGAACCACACAAGGAAATTGGAACCAAATTACAAAGAGTTAGTAGCGCCATATGATAATTGGATCAGCCCCATTTTCATTTCCTTCTCCTTGGTAACAAGAGATAGAGAGAGGAGAGAGAGAGGGAGAAAGAAATGTGTCAAAGCCCTTGCAGCTTTTGATCATTGTCTCATTTTGCCCTTCATCTGCCCATAAGTCTGATTCTGAACTCTTAACCGCCCTTCTCGGACCCCTAGCTCTTCATTATCTGGGCATGCCAGCCATATCTCTCTGTGATTCACTATATATATTGGTGATAACTTTTATTTCGATTCTTATTTTTTTTATTTTGTTGATAGGTTAGAATGGTCTTTCACCTTCTTTTAATTGATAAAGAGAATTCTATTAAATATTAAAGATATACAATAATATTTTAAATTTAAGTGGTGACGGAATTGGTGCTACATGAGGCAATGAACCAACTACAATAAAATAATATGAACTCGTCATCCACAAGATTACGCTTTTATAATCCTTCATGAAAAATAATTTGTTGTCATGATTTTTCTACGGGAAGGAAATTTCACTGAACAAGATTAGCGAGTTATGAAATGCTCGGCTCGAGACTGCTATAGTTAAGACATCTGTTTGCTAGTTGATTTTCAGACTTCATGAACATTAACGAAATAGGCCTTATTTACGTTGAAATATTTGAGAATCTAATGTGGTGGAAACTAACACATAAATTAAACCTTATAAATTATGCAATCGTAGTACGAATAAGTAGGGATCGTTCTATTCCGGAGATTAGAAGGGATGCTAATCAATACAAATTAAACTTATAAAACTGAAAACTAAGTTATACTAACATCAAAACAATGACTGTGGGGATTTTGGACGAATTTAATAAAAACAAAAGTAAATGGCAGCAAGTAAATCAAGTTGTGAATGAAATACAGATGAAAGGAAAGCTAAAGCATTCTTCTCCACACATGAAACATATACATACAAATCAATTTCCAGTTATTCTTCCAATAAATCATGAATGACAATGCCCCAAATTAACTATGAACAACACTAATTAACTCTCATATTTTCCTAAATTCATTGAATTGGACCCAGCGACACAACCAAATTATTCTTCTCAAGTTCCCTAACTATGAAAAGCATGATAGAGATACATCTTAAATATCATTAAGTTCTGTGAAAATTATAAGCATTTACAAAGCATTCGGAACTATGAAAAAGCATGATACTCCTGCCAAGAATTTACGTAACCCAATCATGACTACTGACTTTTACTACTTCCAAATATAAGTTCATAAAGATTAGGTGAAATTCCCTTATACTCTAGCATCAAATTCCTTCATGCAAACTAAATATGCATCCTTAATAAACATACAAGAATAAGTTCTCTATAATGCAGATAAGTAAATCGCATTCATATTTTATGAAACAATAACTGGATGTAATCAATTTATACAAACCATATGATCATGGCTTCGAATTCACCTCTAGCTAAAAAGAAACTTAGTTACACATGTTCATCATAATTGAAAAGCAATTTAAAATAAACATTGAAACCTAAAACAAAGATAGAAAGAACTCTGAAAATTTCAGCAACTTCAATGGATGAATGGTAGGCAAGGATTTACTCTATCTTCGGTTTAAAAAAAAAAAATGGTAGGCAAGGCACACCCTAAATCACTGCAGGAATTTCATATATACAGGGGGAATGGCTAAATCCAAGGAGAAAAGAAATTAGGTGTTTTGAGTTATTTTAGGACTCTAAGAATCAGGTATAATGTGTTTGAATGTGATTAGGATTCCTCTTTCTTGTGTAATTCCTTGCCTTCCAAGCCTCAACTTTAATTTCTCCAGATTTTAGCACATGTCTAACACCATTTAAACTCCAAAAACGTCCAGCCCATATGTTATCCATGCATGCTATCCAATCCAAGTCCAAAATTGCTCTAAAATGCTCCATTTGGCTATTTATTATCATCTTTACCAACTGGACCTTCAATAATACGAAAATAGCTTAAATTACTACGATAAATGAAAATTAACTAAGTAAATGCAAAGAAATAAGATAACAAAGTCGCATAAATATGCTCTTATCAAATTCCCCCACACTTATCTTTTGCTAGTCCCTAAACAAAACAAAGAAAACAAAACAAAACCTAAATCTTCCAACAATTGCCTCAGGGATTTTTAATGAAACATGACATGTTAAAAATCACTACTCACATAGATTTTAGCCATCCTTACTCTTGAGCCTCTACTTAACTGTAGTAACCACTTACTAGCTCACATTTAATCAATTAAAACAACATTTGAGAGTAGTAACATGCTTTAGAGAATTCACTCAATTCCTCACCGGATATACTCTCTATTTTCACACAGATTTTCCGACTAAACGCCCTATACTAAGTATATGTGAGAAGATTGATGTAAACATGTAGAATAGCACTCACATATATTATAACAAAGAAGACACTTTCTAGAATTATTAATACAAACATGTATACGATCTCATGAACGGAATGCCACTACTTAGAAGCAAGAACTAGAGATTCCATATGCTCGTACCAATTTCAAACTCCACATATTGAAACACATAACAATCAAAATAAAAGTCTAAGGGTTGTAATGGGGCTAAGGTATTGGCTAACAAATAAAGGTTAAGGATAAACAAAGGTTCTTAAAGTGATAGTAAGCAAAATAGTGAAATCAACACTTCGAATTCAACTTTTGATTGCAGCACCTAACTATAAACACAAAGGGGAGATTTGTACAACTTTAGGGTCAGATTCACATTTTTGGACCCTTCTTCAACAACCAACACTTATGAACTCATTCTCACGTCTTTTCAACCTCTTTTTTTATTCTTTTTCTTTTCTCCTTTTTTTCAACGTTTTTCTTCTTCTTTCTTTTTTTTTTCTTTTTTTTTTCTTTGAAACATAAAACATAAGTACTACTTCACCGCATTCAAAAGAACAAATTCTTCCCCCACACTTGTTTTTTTGCAAATCGTAAATCAAAAGGAATTCCCAATAAGTCATGCTTCACTATTCTTTAAGAACAAGGGTATGGATATTCCTATACTAGGCTAGGTAGGGACAATGCAGGCTAACAAAGAAAATAGGCTAAATAAGGCTCAACAAGGTTAAACCTACAAAACATATGCAAGGGATAAGGCATTTTGGCTCTGGTTGTGACTAAACAACTTCATCTTATTATTTGTTACACAATCAATTTTACGCTTTGAATGAAATGGGCATGAGTTCTAGTATTTGGAACTAAAATTATGAAAAAGCATTCTAAGTAGCAACCAAGCAAAGAAATAATGAGATCATGCAACGACTTTAGAAAACAAGAATATCGCAGATTATTAACTCTCCAAACAAAGAATAGACTTAAGTCTCACAGGGTTATAGCGTTAGTTTGAGTTTCTTCCTTCAAGCATGTTAGAAAAACTGATTTTTGTTCTCTTTGTGATTACATGTGAATTCGTAAATGACAACTACAACTAAGTATTAACCAAAGAGCATATCAAACTTCCACCCATGTTTATACTTTCTTTACCCTAAGACACAAATAAGCAACAAAACCGACTCTTTTTTTGGTATATTGTCAAACTTTTTCGATTTTTTTTCAAAATTTTGTTATATGACACACAATAAAACACTTTAAAACAGTGAATAACAACATTAGTAGTGATAGGTGGTGAAATTCGAAGAAAAATCATGAAAAACAATCTGTTTACCCTCTACACTTGAAGCAAACATTGTCCTCAATGTTTCAAAAATAAACTTAAACAAGAAAGCAATAAAAGATAACTAGCAAACAAGACCATCAAAGCAAAGTAAAAACAATAAAGAGAAGAGTAAAAGAGAGCAAATCTGGTTGTAGGAGCCGGAAATTCCAATGTCTCTTTGTTTGAACACATGGGTTGCCTCCCAATAAGCGCTTGCTTTAACGTCTTCTAGCTGGACGATACCTCCATTTAATCCTCACAATGACCAACGGCATGGAGTTGATCTTTGAATGGAAGGTGATACTTGAAATGATCCGGTAATGGTTTGAATTCTAGAGTGGGTGCCTAAATCATTGAAATCAATAACATGTTAGTAAAAAACGAAATTGAAATTTGAGAAGGTGGCTTACCTGTGTGCTGCGACAATAACTTAAGGACAAAGACTACTTCAAAAGTTTCAGGAATGTTACACTCAGCCAGATTTGGTATGAGGGCGGTGACTTATCTCGTGTTATAAAATTCAACTTCTTTGGGGATGGTTGTCTCAGGTACGTCCTCTTTGATGAATTCTGGATACTTTCTAGCCACTTCTTTCTCTTGAATCCTCCTTTTTGTTGTACAAAGCTCTTTAAAAAATTCAACACATTCTGGAACTTGCTTTATTGTACCAAGAATTGGGATATTAACTTGCAACTTTTGGAAGGCTTCCAAGATGTTTTTTTTCACTTTCTTCTTTCTTAGATTGCATAAACTTGCAAGGAAAAGATACATTTGGTCGAATAAGGTCAGAAAGAATTCAATTCGGAACAACCTTACTAGAATTGGATGGTGGTGGAGCTAGGGTAGCTGCGGCAATAGGATTAGAGATGATTAGGTGTGGCGGCTGTTGGAAATATGCCCTAAAACCAATCATATGATGATACTTTACGGACATTTTACATGTTAAACTAATCTAGTTTAATATCAAGGGCAAAGATTATTGTTTTAAGCCGTCTCATATAAATGTTATATGCTTAAACGATATGTCCAAGGAATATGTAATTAGGAGAATGTAATTTAAACAAGTTAGATTTATGAGACCATTCTCTTTCGTATACATATCCTAAACGTTCCTGATCATAGGATTGCCAATTGGGCATTGACAGTCCGTTAAGATCAGTACGTTTTGTGTCTTCTCTCATGGAGAGTGACTGGTCTCGAGTCATTGGTGTGATTGACACCAAGACAAGCATGTAGGTGCTCAATAGCGAATGAGTCCACTGAACACGATCAACGAGGAGTTCTCATACTCATGTCACATGAGAACTCATGGTTAGGATAATGCAAAGTAGTCCTTTGACCTGAGGCATCATAATTGTCTTGTGGTTAAGTCATTGATCTTTGACTATGTCAAAGTCACTCCGTCAGAGGGTGTCCACGGCATAGTTGGGGTTAAGCCACTTAGCCATGGAGGCAAGTGAATGCGCAACAAGGGATCTCTAACCTTCAAACCGTTTGAGGGAGAATACTCAATGATATGATTAAGAATCTCTGGCCAGAGTATGAATGAGATTTAGGAAGTCATTCTAAATCACATTCAAGGTAATCATATAAGTAAATGGATCACATTGGATAGTAGACATGAATAAACTATCAATCCATACAATGTGGTCAAGAGTATTGTATTAGAGAAATACCGTATTGCATTGTA